TGCAGTCTAGAAGTCAGGCTGTAAAAAGAGAAGCGTTATTAGTAGGATTTTTGAAGCGGACTTCCCAAACGTGTTCGAAATTCTAGAAACGTGAAATTTTTACGGTGGACTCACTCCGGAACCGGATACGAAAACGCAAACGAGAATGGTCAGGAATTGTCAGGTTAGCTGGTATGGCTGGACCGCAAGAATTGTGCCCGTTGGCCGTTTGAAAATACAATGGAAATTAATTTGTCGAGCTTAACGAACCTCAGGGAGCACAAAGCGTTCGTAGACGCAAACGTGGAACTGTTTTAATTATAACACGTCGTGAATTTGAAAAATTGTCGTTTCTCGCTATTGGTCAGAGGATGATCCTCTTCGAGTTTACTCGCAGCGTGTTTGCGCTCCCAATTAAACGGCAGCTGTCAAAATAAAGGTGGTTTCGTTTAACCGCGAAAGGACCGAGTTTCTTTTTTTATCCTGACGCTGGCACCGTTTCACGCGTCGTTTCATTAATTTCTCCGTAAAAAATCGAATGAACGTTAAAACGTTGGTTGTAATCGAATTGCAGAGACTCGCGTCGGCCATTATGCGTTACAAAAGTGGTTACGCGATGTTGGTGGCAGATATTCGGCCGAAAATCAGATTTCCTGTTTAATGGAGTTCCGCGATTGCAAAAGGTGCCGCGGTAAAAGTCGCCAACAAACTTTCGAAACTTTAGCAATTTTTCCCATTAGCCGCGATTTTTCAGCGGCGAAACGTGGCCGACGAAGTTTTACCACGTTATATTTGCTGCGCCGGCCTGCAAATACGCGCTTCCCCGAATTTGTAAGCGGCTGGAATCTCGGGAAAATTGAACCGATGAGAGATTGCTTTTTCTTGTCGCGGTACTAATGGCTTGAGTCTTGGAGAATTTACGTTTCACGAAGAACTTGTTGTTGGAAGAATTTAGGCTCTTAGGTCCTGGGAGAGTCTACGTTCTGAGATCTTAGACGTAGGAATTGGAGGAGTAGGTATTGAAGAGATAACTGGACTTGGGTTCTAACAATCAGTAGAACTTAGGATCTAAAATCTAGGATCTGATCAAGTCTAAGAGAACCTAGGATCTGGGTGGAACTTCTAGCTAGAGCTTGGTTTTAATCTAGTTACTGTGGAGAACTTAGATGCATAAATCTAGCCCTATAGATCTTACATTGTGGACAGAGCCTGGGTACCAAGAACATAAGTTCCGAGCCTAGATTTTCTCAGCCTAAGCTTAGCTTTAATTTAGACTAAGGTAAATTTACGTCCTAAAGAAAAGCTAACTCGCAGGATTTATTATCAAGAAGCTAGGACCCAGGGGACACGTGTCTGAATTCTCCGCAGACACTTGTTGAAGCCGATCGATAAAATCGCTCGATTAGGAACATTCGTTAATGAGCAATCGATTGGCAGGTTCATGAGCGACAAAACGATGCAAGCGAATTTCCGTATCTCGTTGGCCGGCTTCTTCCGTGTGACATCCGGTGTCGCGATATCTCGTCGATGATTTACGAGCCGCGAGAAAGAGGCAGCTCTCGGCACGAGACATCGAGCGGCTGCAGCTTCGGGGACAATTTATTGTCGCATCGATCGTAACGAAGGGGAAATTCTATAAACTGCTCGTCAACGAGGCAATGAAGGAAAAATTGGATCGGGTGCAATGCTGGCATGGTCTGGCTGTTGGAGAGGGCGGCGAGAGTTATTGGAGAGGAGACAAATGAAATCGGAAAGCGTGCTCGTAAAATAGGATAACTCGAAATTGACCGAGCAACGTGAATCCCTGGTGGCCTCTTTATTATTCTTCGCCTCTCGGCTCCGGATTCTTGCCGAAGACGGAGCTAAAGAATTGCTAATAAAACGGCTGCTATTTATTTCCCATCTCTTTTTCTTCTTTCACTCGTTCGAAACAATTATTCTTTGGTTATTTGGAATAAATGGCATCTTTCGCGAGGCTCAAAGTATCTGGTTCACGGTAACTGGTTATTCGGTCACGAATAATGGACCTTCAAGTTTGGCAAAGAAGTGTACCTCTATAACTCAGTCAATTTTGAAAATTTGAGTAATGGGAGAAATCTTGAAATTGTAAGGTAGGCGAGGTTCGCAAGGCTCAAAGTATCTGGTCCACAGTAACTGGTTATTTGATAACAAATAATGGACCTTCAAGTTTGGCACAGAAGTGTAAACCTCTGTAACTCAATCAATTTTGAAAATTTGAGTAATGGGAGAAATCTTGAAATTGTAAGGTAGGCGAGGTTCGCAAGGCTCAAAGTATCTGGTCCACAGTAACTGGTTATTCGGTCGCGAATAATGGATCTTCAAGTTTGGCAAAGAAGTGTACCTCTATAACTCAATAAATTTTGAAAGTTTGAGTAATGGAAGAAATCTTGAAATTGTAAGGTGAGATTGAAAATCGACTGTAGACGTAAGCAATAGTAGACTTCCGGTTGTAAGCGTTGCCTGTAGTTATCGAAGGTGTACTGTCTGTCGGTTGATGAAAGACGAGACGCCATAACAAAGGAACGTTTGATCAAAGAGCACAACTAATGAAAGATACGGGGCTGGAAATGAAAAGGGCGACAGGTTCTTTTTCTATTTTTTATTGGCTTCCCCTCGTTTGCTCAACGAAGTCTCGTTCAGAGTGCTTTCGATCTTCATTACGACAGAGATACCCCGGGACTTTTATCATTGATCGCGACAGAAAGAGACCATCCTGTCTCGGTGTCCTGAATTGTACATACCCTTCCGTAATTACGTTATATAAATTAACGTAGCTACGTAACAAAGGCAGTTCTCGATTCAATTCGAGTACGAATAAATGGCGGCATTAGGACCCTTTCGACAATTAGCGCCACTCTCTTAACCGTTAAAAGTATTTCGACCTCGTTCATACCTCGTTCTCACCGGCGAAAAAAAGGAAGAAGGAGTTCTTGAACGGTTAGGGGTTCTCTAACCCTGTTTGTAGATAACAATTTGTCCGCTTTTTGTTGCTTTCGTTAGGTCGTTCCTTCGGCAATTAGAACGGCAATTAGAAGTAAGAAAGTTTCCGCGAAATGCGCTCTCAACGTTAACGCTGTGGTTTCGATCGGAATCGAGTTGCATTCGTCTCGCTTTATGGCACGCTACATTAACTTCAAGGATCTTATCATACTGGACCAATGATGACGTTTCGAGTACTCGAATATCGTGTTTAGAAATATTCGATTGAAGTCCATTTACTTATCTGCTAATACAAATCGATATGTGGAATTAAATATTTGTTTTTCCACCGGGATGACGTTTGAGCGATACAATTTTATTTACAATTGTTTTTAATGTAACTTCAAGGGGATATTAATATTGATTTTTTTAAGGAGTTTATCTGGGAACATAAGAATATTGTGTAATAGGAAGGTTTAGAAATTTGCAAATGGATAAAATTTGAAAGTTACGCACACGGAAAGTTCTCTCGCGTATTTGACACGAATTTGATCGATTCGGGTGTACAATAGCACGCGCCATCGAGCGGTGCGCCTAGCGAACGCGTGTAAATCAGTTTGTCAGCTCACGATTCGAGCGTTTTAATTGTTCCATTGATCGAAACGTGATCGTTGATCAAGGGAGACATAATCGTAAGTTCCGTCGGTCAATCGATTAATTAACACGGATTAGTGCAGTTTCTAATCATCGCTTAGATTGGATATCCTGTACGGTAAACGCATGATACAGTGGATAATGACCAAGGTAAATAGAGTTTGTTGTCTCTGGATTATCGTTGCTAATTGCAGTTTGCGCAAAGCCCGGGCTGCTTCGACGGACGAAATAGACGCTGCTCGGATGGTTGTACCGAATCGAACGAGGACAATGGATCACACGGGCAAATATTGACCGCAACAAATATAGGACGGCCCTGGCAATCAAAACGTCAGCCGGCTTAATTTATCCCGTCACCAGACTGCAGACCAGTTTTATTTTTTTTCATGTCCTATAGTTTCCGCAGGCCGCGTTGATTGTTCCGCGTTCGTTGAGAGTTAAAGGGCCAGCACGTTTCGAAAATGGGCCGCTTCGAGCCTCGATACGCCTTGGTGCTATTCGATGAAACCCGCGAAATCGACGGGAATATCGAACAACGGAAATTTCTGCGAATTGGCTCGTTGCGCGGAAAATTTATTCAGAAAATTTCCGACCAATGTGGCAAAGAAATATTTGATCGCTTATATACTTATTATATTTTATCGTGGAACTTATTGAACTGCCTTGTTAACTTATCTTCACCCTAACTCCACATAGTATTTACTCACGCGAAGTATATTTTTAAGGATAGTCTGTTACTACACTTTGAGCTCGGAAGTTGAAAATATTTGTAAGTAAACTTTCCGATGCTTCGAATTCCACATCGACGTTTTTAATTAATAATTATTACTAACGCGCTATCGTGCGTTATCAGCCGTTAACCTTCGTGACATTGTTGAAATATTAATGAACAACGTGATTGATTTAACTGAATGTATAACAAGTACACCCATCAATAACAATATCATGCACGATATTGACTAATAACACTCTAGTGGGGTTAATAATTACATTTATTGATTTACGTTCATTAGTTATGAACCGATGAAGTTATTGTTTCAAAATAATCATTGAAAACATTTAATTCCATTCTCAATCTTAAATTTTATTCCTCAAAATCCATCACTGTAATCAACAAGTATTAAGAACGATCATGAAAACCTCCCGCAGTTATTTTTATAATACTTTAAGCTGCAAATTGATGTATCATTATTTACGTGTCAACTTACGTCATAATACAGGTATCGAAATCTGCGACACAATACAAAATGACGCAATGTCTCGTTTAAAGCTCTGTTGAGACGACACATTTGGCGCAGAAAATAACCTTCCTTTATCAGATAAACGTTATGTATTCAAACGAATCGTCATTTCTGGCGCAAAGACTTCAGATTGTTGTGCAATCAACTGATCAATAAATCTCTTATGTTCTGTTTTTCTGATTACAGAGTTGTTAATTAAGAATGCGCGATGACACGGCGAATTTATCAGTGGACAGCAAACAACCCGCGCGACAAAGCGCAGGGTATGGAAATGGAACCCCAAAAAACAAACTCTCACCGCCAGGAAAAAATATTCTTGAAGTGTAAGTACCTCCTCCTTATCATATCTTATATCAACACTTAACGTTGTTTTAATATTCTATTTTACGGATAATGCATTTACAAATATTGGTACAGTGGATTCTCGTTATATTGCCATAGAACAGTGTATCTTCGGATGTTCTTTCGATGATACGTCGCGTAGAACTAGTGTATAGGGATGCAACGGATGGAGATTCAATACGTAGTCTTTTGAAGGAATTGGGGAATGTGGGAGTTGGGGAATGTGGGAATTGGGGGACGTGGGAATTGGGGGACGTGGGAATTGGGGGACGTGGGAATTCGGGGACGTGGGAATTGGGGAATGTGGGAATTAGGAAACGTGGGAATTGGGGGACGTGGGAATTGGGGGACGTGGGAATTCGGGGACGTGGGAATTGGGGAATGTGGGAATTAGGAAACGTGGGAATTGGGGGACGTGGGAATTGGGGGACGTGGGAATTCGGGGACGTGGGAATTGGGGAATGTGGGAATTAGGAAACGTGGGAATTGGGGGACGTGGGAATTGGGGGACGTGGGAATTCGGGGACGTGGGAATTGGGGAATGTGGGAATTAGGAAACGTGGGAATTGGGGGACGTGGGAATTGGGGGACGTGGGAATTCGGGGACGTGGGAATTGGGGAATGTGGGAATTAGGAAACGTGGGAATTGGGGGACGTGGGAATTCGGGGATGTGGGAATTGGGGAATGTGGGAATTGGGGAATGTGAGAATTGGGGCATATGGGAATTGGGAAATGTGGGAATTGGAGAATGTGAGAATTGGGGAATGTGGGAATTGGGAAATGTGGGAATTGGGAAATATGGGAATTGGAGAATGTGGGAGTTAGGGAACGTGGGAATTGGGGAATGTGCTTATTCAAAGGTTGCAATATAACAAGTGTCCACCGTACAATACACAGACTATCGACAATACGTCGAATGAAGTTTCGAAAGAACCAGGGTTAAAGAGGGGCGAGTAAAGTTATCTGATCGATGGTTATAATGTTCAATGATCGATGAGTTAAAAAATGGCGATTTTCTTTTTTCCCGATCGTCGATGATCGATCGTGGGCGATCGGAAAGCGAATCGTGCGTTCGATAATATTCCCGCTGGATTATTAAATTATTTCTGTGCCGACGTGTTCGATGAACAAACTCGCGACGAATTTAATCGGTTTCCTCGATGGATCGTTATCGTTAGCCGGCGATCGGGCCACGAGAATTTGCATTTGGTCGTCGCCGCGGAACATTGGCGAGAAACTTTCGGGAGATTGATCGGTTCGAGTGGCGACAGATGATGGAAACTACGGGCGCAGATGGAGCGCGTGCGAATTTTTCTCCGAGAATAGTTTCACGAGTTTTCGTTCGCGCAATAATTCACGGAAATCTCGTTCGATTATATCGAGCCTGGGTCAGTCGATTAAATTATTCAAACGCTCCGTGGCTGAAAAAGCAATTACCATCGCGTTATGACCAGCGCACAACGAGTCGAAGCCGAATTTCAATTTACCTAAAATCGGTACATTTGAATCGCGGAAATATAGCGCGATTATAAATCTCGATCAGCGAGCGTGTTTCGTTCCTGTCTGACTGATTCGGAAGATGAAAAGCGCTGATAACGAAGTCGAGTCAACTCTCGTTCAATATCAATGATCGCTCGATGGTCATTCATCAAAGTATCCTTCTACTGCAGATAACCTCTGACAACTTCCAACTTTTACATACTATCAGATGCAGTACTACATTGCACAGCTTTTTTATCTGTACAATTTACATACTATCGTATCAGTTCATAGATCGCTATCATTTATGATCATGTTATAATATCCATCGTGTACATATATGTACAGGGTGTCACCTGTAAGAAAACCGGGTTTGGGTCGAATGTGGGAATCTTTGGGTTTTTTTAAATAGGAACATACATTTTTTTTTATTCATAATTTTAGAGGACATCGAGACGAATTCAAAAACACATACTACATGATATTTTTATTAACACATTACTCGATTTACAGAAATGGAAATAATGTAATGAATATTGTTGAACATCGAATAAGAGGATGAATGTTTTCGAGTTTGTTAGACAATTGTCGGGGTTCGTCAAAGTGACGCGTTGTTAGGAGGGAAAGTTGGGCGTAATCGACGAGCGGAAGTTTTCGAGCGCGTATAGCAGCCCCGGGGGGTAAATTCGTCCGCGTTACAGCACTGTAGGCCGTGCAGCTGGCAGCCTCTCGCGTTCACCGTAGAAAATGCCGATCGTAGATTCGTCGCAGGAGTTTCGAACAGCAATTACGCTGCTAATGGAGGCCCCACGGGAAGATATCCCGACTTCGACGAAGTCCAGACCCGGTTCGGGTTCGGTTTCACCCTGGTTCACCGTGACGGGCGAGAAACTTCCGTTTTTCCTTCACGCGCCGACGAGCATCCTCGCGTGTTCGCGCCGATACGCGCGAACCGTCGATTTACACGCTGTTCCGGGCTGATTTATGATAGTCTGCGACGCAACGTGCCACTTGGATCGTTCATTATCCCTTAGAATAATGGGAATCGATCTTCGCGGAACTTGCAAACAAGAAAACTGCTTGTTGAATCCCCTTAGTGTTCCTCACTTTCGACGGCTTTCTATTTTGTTCCGGGTAAATTGAACTCGTCGTCGATAATTCCCTCGTTAAACGCTTTTTGAGACAACCTGAATGTAGCTTTATTTTACAGAGTTTAATAATCCAGTTACGAAACAGTTATTTTTATTTATGTATAAATAAGGGGTGGAGGGATTTGGGAATTGGGGAATGTGGGAATTGGGGAATGTGGGAATTGGGGAATGTGGGAATTGGGGAATGTGGGAATTGGGGAATGTGGGAATTGGGGAATGTGGGAGTTGGGGAATGTGGGAATTGGGGAATGTGGAATTGGAGAATGTAGAATTGGTGGACGTGGGAATTGGGGAACATGGGAATTGGGGAACGTGGGAATTGGAGAACGTGGGAATTGGGGAGTGTGGGAGTTGGG